CTTGACTGATCGAACAATTCTGCTCTCTACCTACTTGCATCTACAGGTGTTAGGTTGACCTAACTATATCTTTCGCACAGGGCAAGAAATTTTGCACAGCCTTGAGCGAAGTAGCTAGGTTGACCTGTTTTAGGTATAGACTAAGCCCTAGTAATAAGGCTTTAGCCATAGAGGAATGGGGAGATGTAAAGAGCTTTTATTTAATGCATAAGCACTTCGGCAGAAAAACAGTATTTATGCCAATAAACACTTCAGGGAAAAGACCATAAGGTTATTGGATTCAGTAAGAGAACAAAATGAATCAAACCCTCATTTGATAAAGCAAACACCACTCATTTTTTAGCTGGAGTACTAGAAATAATTAAATTCCATAAAAATTTAAAGCAGCACCAGTTAGAGCCACTATAGCTGAAATTGTTTCAGGGCTTCTGTTTTTCCAGGAATTAATAAACCTTTCTTTAAGTTTGTCTGAGATGAAACTTGGCACAAAACATCCCAGCCTATGACAGAGGGTTTGTCTAGACTACATGCCTCTGCTGACAGAGGCATGTAAATTAGACATAATGACATAGTCAATGAAGCGGGGATTTAAATATCCCCCACTCCATTAGAATAAAAATGGCCGCCATGTTGTGCCAGCTCAGCTGTTTGTTGGCACAAAGTGGCAGTCAACATGGGGATCGGTCGGCAAGAAAAGCCTTTGCCGATCGATTCCTGTCTTGACTGCTGCTTTGTGCCAACAAACAGCTGAGCCGGCACAATGCGGCGGCCACTTTTATTCTAATGAAGCGGGGGATATTTAAATCCCCGCTTCATTGACTGTGTCAGTATGTCTAATTTACATGCCTCTGTCGGCAGAGGCATGTAGTCTAGACATTTCCTGAGGCTACTCTTCTGTTCACTTAAATAGGTAGTAAAGTGGTTAAAACAAAGAATGGGCCTTTAAATGGCTTTAGCAATTCCAACGCAAAAAGAAAGGTTTTTAATATGTTAACTCCACAAGGAATTTAATATGTTAACTCCACAAGGAAGTACTTATGTGGATAAGTACTTCAATTATCTTTAGAAATTTTCAGTTATCATACTCATTTATGTTGTAATGTCTCCATAATAGTTTGATACATAAGCCTGTTGCCCATTATATTCTTTAAGGGTGTGTCTAAACTACATGGCTCTGTCGAAGGAGCCATGTAGATGAGGCTGATCAGCAGAGGGAAATGAAGCTGCGATTTAAATAATCGTGGCTTCATTTAAATTTAAATGGCTGCCGCGCTCTGCCAACCAGCTGATGATCAGCTCTTTCTCGGCAGATCGGGGCAGTCTGGACGCTCCCCCGTCGACATGAAAGCCCTTTGTCAACCTCCCCCTTATGCCTCGTGGGATGAGGCTTACCGGGGAGGTTGACAAAGGGCTTTCATGTCAACGGGGGAGCGCTACATGGCTCCGTCGACGGAGCCATGTAGTTTAGACACACCCTAAGAGAGCAATGACCTATTGCCAGATCTCATTGTTCAGAAGTGTCTACATACAATTACTGACTTAAAATGTCTCCTGTTATCATTCACAATGCTATACAGGAGACAAATAAAAATATCCAGCTTGGTGTCTTGCTCCTGGGGTAATTATTACACTCAAGTCCCTGAAGGGACAGGCTGAGCTCTGAACTCTCAGTTTTTACAGGTTTGTAATGCACAAAACCACTAGAAGCAGGACTAATCTTTTACAGTAAGAATTTTTGGGTGATATAAAGGTTATAAAATATAGAAATTGACTAAATTATGAGCCTAATGAGAGTGTTCTGTATAAGACACGTGCCTTTGCATCAGAGAAAGGGGAACTGCACAGAATTTGCTTTTTACCGAGAAGGTGCTCTTGCGAGGAAATGTCTCTGATCAACATATTACCTGAAAAACCCAAACCCAAATCGATTATTAACCCTTACCATTAAAGGTTTAATAAACTCAAACAAAAATTCAGATTTCTGGCTAACACACTGATTTCAAGGGCATAACAGAGAGCAATCTAAAAGAGAGATAAAGTTAAATAAGATCAGACATAGCCCTTGTCCTTGGGTACTTAAGGATCATGCAATTAACAGACATCTGCAATAATGTGTACTGCTGGGTGGGTCAAGACTGAAAGTCCATTTTTGTTTATTCTATGTTAAATTCGCTCTATTACTTGCATCAATTTTAATAAGTCTAAAAGCAAAACTATCTTGACTTAGAAAAAATAAATTATTTTTTTAAAAGTATTTTTAAAATGCCTCTGGATATTTTCAAAGTGCTGTTAATTATCGGATTATTAGATTGGAGCATAAATACATTTAGAGGTGTTTTTGTTTAAGAAGTAGTATGTGTGTGTGGTTGAGGGGAGGGAGAAAGTAAAGATCAATTGACAGCTATGGCCAAGCTATACAGAACTCTTTTTCACTTACAGGAGTTGGTCTAATAAAAGATATTAGCTCACCCACTTTGTCTCTTCAATATCATGGGACCAACTCTGAAAACAATTTCTCTAAGAAAGATGTGCCAGTTTAACTAAGGCTATATCTACACTACAGCACATGTTGTATCATGAACTCCCCCCTTCCCAAGTAATGTAAGTTACACTGACACAAGTGCCAGTGTGGACAGAAGCTTTCCCACCAACATAATTTCTGTCACTCATAGAAATGGTTTTGCTCTGTTGGCACAGAGCATCTTCAACAGATGCGCTGTCACAGCCAGGCTATACACACAGACATGCTCTAGAGGTGTGATTTTAAACTGATTTAGTTGAAGTGCTGCAAACTTCTGTATGGTTTAAAGCACCCTTCTTGCAATTTAGTTTAAATCTCTGTAACTTTTATCAGAATAAGTCCCTCTTAAACCAATACAAACCCCATCTGTGGATATTTTTCTTTTCTTTTCACTGAGTTTAAAAATCACACCAATTAAATTGCATTATTTCCTTGCATAGCTGAGACCTAAGAGTAGATTAATTTTGCCACTTACTTCAGTGGAACCAATATTTGTCTTGTAGAAATGAAAAATCTGGCACAACTGCAGTGTAATCATTAATGGCCAGATTTAGTAAACAGAACTAACTTCCACACAGCAGAAATTCCATCCATCCCCCTCCTGGAAACACACACATTTTTGGTATGTTTG